TTTGATCAACTGGCTGATTATATTTCGGGGCACTAGTTAAACGGCGCTGTTTAGTTAAGAGGCTAGGCTGTTAATTGAACGGCTTATTAAGCTAGTTGGCTGCGACATATATATTATAGTAAAGAACAGATGTGTGCGCATAAAAATGCATTGAGTATTCCACGGGGAGATGACTTAAAATATATGTACTATTTAAATGTGTGATTCCCTACCTTAAATCATAAAGAAATTCTATTAGATATTATGACTGCTATTTAAACAACCTACGCAATAACAAGCTTCGTAAATTATGGGATAATAGAAAATACATTTTTTTAAATAAATCATGACAGTAATAACACAGGTCAAGATAAATTGCCGAAAGTACCGGTGTGGGTTTGTTGGACAATGTTAGGGTTGTTGCGTAACTATTTGCGTAACAAATTTAGTTATTGGTACGTAACACTATATGGTGTTTAACCGTTATAACCGCTCGGTGTACAAACAGAACAGAAGAAGAATTTATTTATGAACATGTCTTAGATTATTATTTAGTGCAAGTAATTTTTTGCATCAGTAAGAAAACAAGATCTGCCTTGCGATTCTGTAACTCACAGAGCGGTTTTCACAGCGGCGGTCGCGCTCAAATCAGTCGTAAAGCAGTCATTTTACGATTTGGCATTCTGATAAACAATAAACTACAAGCTCCCTCTTTATGATCTTTTTTAAGTTGCTAAAAACAGTTTTACAGTTAAAGCGTAATTTGAGTGTTATAAATGAAGATTATAATGGTTAATAAAAGTTGATATTTAAATAATTTCGTTAAGATTGACAGTGATATCAATTTGACTGTCATACAGCAAGCAAAATCAAGAAAATTTCTGCAGGAATAAGGGCTACGTCAATAAGACGACTATAACAATGGAAATATAAAATATACCTTTTGTTTGAAATTATCATACTTTCTAATTTAGATTTATAACGCTAGATTTGCACATCCTTATGTCCTTGTTAATTTGATAACTCAACAATGCCGTGCTCCAAATTGCTGCCCACACACAGACTGACCCTACTGAGTCCAGAGGGTTCACTTAACTCACAATAAAACTGCTCATACATATTTATATCTTTAAAGATATACAAATCCTTATTAAATTGACAAATACAGTGTATACTCTTCATAACGTCATTCGTTATAACGAAAAACACTATAACGTTAAAAATTGTAAAATTTATTTGGCTTAAACCAATACCCATACATTAATTCTTCCCTCTCTATAACAAAATCTCCATACCTACCGAATAAAAATGCTCGGTCTCTTGAAATTCGTTATAAAGAGTATACACTGTATATCGTTGACTTTCGTTATTTTTTTAAACAAAATATATACGTTTTTGTGTATTAAGAATGGTAGAAAACCCTTTTTAATTTAATCTATGGCCTCACCACTTCTTTCTTTTTACCACAGTTTTTGAAATATGCCAACTTAATGTTATCTGTCTCTAAATATGCTTAATTGTTTTAATTCTTATTAAATACTTACGCTAACTTAGCTTACTTTTCTATTACCTTTATCGACTAGTAAATTACCAACTAAATATAGAATACATAATATATAGCATATCGTGCTAATACGAATCTTTCGCTTTAAAAATAACGGCAACAACTGTTATGTAGTATATTTGCAGGAGGATTATTAATGACAGTTCTCAAGATAAGTTGTATCAACCAAGGTCTTTTCAAATATCTACTATAAGAGTGAGAAAAGAGGATACTTTTTTATAGAACAGGGGCAAACTGGCAGGGCTTACCTGGTGATAAGTAAAACCGCTGCACATAGACACTCAATGCCAGAGGCCTTGCGAGTGAGTTGCAGGCCTTTTTTCTAGGACCCTAAGTCCAATTGGTTCGAAAATACTTCAGTGGATACCTGGTTCCACTAAGGTGTTTTGCGCAGTTTAAATAACGCTCAGTTGTGGAACGATGGAAATCGAGGTGATATGGATGGAATTTCGTATTCTGCCTTGACGTCCGATTCATGACTTTATATGCGACAATTTTCGTAATTCGTGCAGGTTAATCAGAACAACTCTGAACACTCTTCGGTAAATGGGTAGAAGATGAAGAGAGATTTCTACCCAATACCAAGAGATCGAGCCGCTAGGAAAGATTAAAAAAAACATTATTATTATTATAAATCTTACAACACGCTTTATATGTAATAATTAATTAAAACTGTCAAAATAAATAAAATTTGTCGGAATGATGTTTGCTTCATTTAGTATGTTGACGGAAATAGGATGTTGGTAAATGGTGCAGAACATCAACTAGGATAGTCAATGGAGCGCGTGGGAAACTGGCTATTTTTAAAAAGACTCTGTGGTAGGGCTTTTTAAGTTTAGCTAATAGTTATAAATCAGTAATAAGGGTAATTTATTCGGATATCTGAATTTGTTTCATTCATCATTGATTTAGGCAGTGTAAGCTTCGTGGCTTGAGGGTGTGACTTTTGTCCCTGAACTTTCAAACCCCGGTCGTTGACCCTTTCTATGTGGGCATTTATGTAAATGTTTTTTGTACTATATATATTAGCTGAGACCGTAGTTTCCTTTACGTTATTTCGGTTTATATAGCCTTCAGCGGTAAAAGGTCTGTCCAACACACACAAAAATCATTTCAGACCTTAGATTTCAACAAACGGACTGATAAGCTAAACTAAACAATGAGCTAAACTAAAAAATGAGCTAACTGAAAAATTTGCTAAACTAAAAAATTTGCTAATCTAAAAAATGAGCTAAACTAAAAAATTTGCTACTTAAAAAATTAGCTACACTTATTCAATTTGTTAAATATTGTTAAATTTTACTAGGGCCACTGACTGTCCAACACACACAAAAATCATTTCAGACTTTAGGTTTCAAAAACCGGACGGATTCAAACAAACTAAAAACTAAACAATGAGCTAATCTAAAAAATGAGCTAAACTAAAAAATTTGCTAAACTATAATAATAGCTAACTAAAAAATTAGCTACACCTATTCGTTAAAGAATACAGTTAAATTTTACTAGGGCACGCGTAATTTATTACGGGCCCTTGCGACGTAACCGAAGTGAAATCGAAAAACTATTCACGAATACTTTCAACCCACTAGATTCTACTTGTCCTCGTACCTTAAATGTAACGTCCGTTTTGGCCATAAATAGACTGATCCCACATTCTCGTACCCGTTATTCATTATCATACATGTTTCGTTTCCTAGATAGAGTTTGTAATTCTTCCAATACTGGTTATGTAATACGTCTAGACGACGACTACTTTCGTTATTTTAATTGGGCTATACATAATTTATTAAAATCTCTAATATCGTTTTTATGTTACATAAGTTTAAGGGTAACACAGACACACACAGACACAATCGAAAGTGCGAACTATATAACAAAATCCAATGTCTTCAATTGACATGAGTTAATTCGAATGGATAACAATATTAAGATTTTAAAGGCCGGCAACGCATCCACTAAAATGGGTCTCCATGGGCTGCGATGACTGGTCTTTTTTTACATAATTGTAGTATAATATAAGGGCAGTCATCGCAGCCCATAGACACCCATTTTTAGTGGGTGCTTTGCCGGCCTTTGAGGGAGGAGTACACAGAAGAGATACGACCGGGAGTCGATTTCACAGTTTGCCAGTTCCGTAGGCTCGCTTGCACCCCTATACTAAAAAACCTTTTGAACAGTGCATCAAAAGGTCAGAAGAAACTATGAAATCACTAAAATCCGGATTGCAATCTTATCCTAAACGTAACAATATTTGTTTAATAGTTAAACTATTTTTAGAGACTTTTTTGTCAACTTTGGCGAACCAATGATAACTCACTTGCTTTGATAAAGACGTTAATACTAAAACTATTCAATTAAACTTTTTAACTATTTTTTTATTATTTTGTAGTTTTCAGAGATTTCAATATATTTCAGTCTTTGAATCTTGTATAAAATGATCTATATTTTCAAGTGTGAAACACCAAGTGAAATTGCATGGTATCATTTAACATCTCTCGTGTTGCCCCATTGGCCCATCGCATCATTAACGTGAGATCAGCTTGATAAGAGACGTATAAAGATTCACAACACTCTACTTCTGACGCGATAAAATCAACAATGAAATACGTTCTGTTGTATTGTTTTCTATTGTGTTTGTACCGTGTGAAATATATTGTGTAATTAAAAACAAACGGAGGAAATAGTTGTTGTTAAATAATGATCAAAGACTTTTTGAGAGATATATATATATATATATATGAATAAAAATACCAGGGGGTGATAACCAAAGATTGCTCAATGGTCACCATCAGCGTAAATTAATCAATAAAGCTTTTTATAAATTTGACGAATACTCAAATGATCCTAATCCTTGGGATTGATTTGCTCCAGTTCAAACAATTTTTATGACTCAATAATAATTGGCGATTAAAAAGAGTGGCGGAAAGTTTCTTGAAAGTTCTTCTTACCCGCTCTACGCCCCTGACTTGCGAACTGGTAGTAAATGTTTTACAATTAATTTAACTTCTTTTTGACGTTCATAAGTGTACTTATTTACCTATACGAATAAAGATATTTTGAGTTTGAGAATTCACGTAATAGAGTACATAATATTACATCCGTTTGACAAAAAAAAAATCGTTTCAGTGACACGTTTGTCGTAATATTTTTTCATACAACATTCGGACGGATACAATTGTTATTGGGTTTGTAAGAACCTGACTTGTCAATCCTATAACATGCTGTGTTTGTGTGTGTGTGTGTTAGTGACATTTCACTAATGTTGAAGATGGTTTAATAGTTTTATAGGTGCCCCTATTTATAGTAGCCATAGTAAGCAACTAACTAATGTCAAGGAGTATTTTTGTATTTGTTCTGTGTATCGAAATAAACCAAATTGGTCTAGGATTTTGTTTTAACATTATAATTTGGGATCGGATATCGCCTTACCACAAAACATTAGTGTACGCCTGACAGTATGGTAAATAGAAAATTAAATATGATTAATTTATTTATAGAACCACCGCGAGTAGCGACAGCGGTAGGGCCACGGGGCAAGCGGGCGCAGACGCCGCAGCAAGCTGCCAGATCGCCGCCCGCCCCGCAGCCTGCGCCTGCGCCAGCCCCGCTCATCCCGCTAACTGCTGTCTCCACGGAACAAGCAGACGCTTTGGCTCACGCCGCAAAAGGTGTCGAAGCCCTCGGTGTATTGGTGCAATACTTAGTGTTCCGAGTGAGTACTATAGCGTTTACATACACTTTTATTCATATCTTGCATAGAATTTCAAAACGTGAGGTTTTTGAAGTTATACTTATTTTGGGGCGTTAGGGAAAAATGATGAGAGTAAATTTTTACGATGCGGGCACACCGTCACAAATACCGAAACCCTGAAGTTAGCATAGTCAACATTTTAAAATAAAAATTGTCCATTTCTTTAATTATTTTTTTGTGATATTTAAATAAACTTTATTTAACTACGTACATAATGCGTTATAATAACACTTTTAATATATTAAATAGATTTTTTCTATTGTTAGTGTCGTTTTTTCTACAAACGTAGAATAAGGCGAAAAATATAATTTTTAATAAGATTTTTATCTTGTCACGCCAAAGAAGTATAGCTTCTAACGCGTGTACATAAGTACACACACATGTTTTTTTTTGTATAAGGGGTAACTCACTTCTTTCAACTTGCGAGAATTGGTCTTAGGGGTGATTTTTATAAGTAACAATGATTGCAGCTGGATGCACTAAACGGCAGCTCATGGCGGGTAGAAGCCGAGCGGTGGCGTGGCGTGGCAGCGGCAGAACGCAGCAGTGCTGCTCGCGCCGACCGCGACCGCCAGCAGCGTGCGCAAAAGGACCTCGACACCAGTATGTATAATGTCTTGAAACTGAACAAAATGTCTTCAAACTTTGTACAAGCTGCCATTTAAATTTATGTAAAAGGTATTCTTAATAGCAGTTATGTTAGCTACGTTATTTTACACTTAAATAATAATATTATGGAGTATAAATTAGTGTCAGTGCACGTTATTCCTAAAAATGTGGAAAAAATAGTACACAAGAACAGAGTGTCTTCCCCTTAATAGAGACAGTTTCGTATATTAAATATGGTTTTTAGTAAATTAGGTTAGTTTATAATTACCCATTAATAATAAAAGGAGTAAAAAATTAATAAAATATTTATTTATATAGTCGCAGAATGCCTGAGCAAGATCTCAGAGCTAGAGATGGAAGTATCTTCAAAGGAAGAGGCGAACGCTCGTTTACAAGCCACACATATAGAAGAGGTCTCGGCCTTGGCCAACGACGTTAAAGGACTGAAGGTTAGTTTTATTGTTTAAAGAAAAATAGGTTTAAATTGACTCAAGAATTTTCGTAAATATTTACGAGTATTTAAATGATCCTAATCCTTGGGATTGATTTTCTCCAGTTCAAACAATTTGTATGACTCAAAACATGGCGATTAAAAAGAGTGGCGGAGAGTTTCTTGCCCGCTCTTCTTGCCCGCTCTACGCCCTGTACTTGCTAACTGGTAGTGAATGTAAATTTAAAATCAATTTAACATATTTTCTGTTGAAGTTCATAAGTGTACTTGGTTGCCTATATGAAAAAAGTTATTTTGAGTTTGAGTCTGAAGATATAATGTCAAAGCGAAGCGATGGTGTCATAGCGCAAAAACAGCGGCATAACTTTCGACAATTAATCAACTATATTATTTGTCGAAAGTTATGTTTTAACAAAGCTATTTGTTTACTCCTGGCGAACGATACGTAGGAGTTGCATTCGATATAAGGATTTCTGAGTATTGTAAATTCCTATTATAGCCTATAATTTGACAGAACCCTTATAATTCCTATGAATTACTCTACGTAGCTATACAAATTTATTGTAAGAAAAATTTAAATACCAACTAAAAATCATAACAAAATTGTTCTACATTTTCTTCAGTACTTGTAAGTAAACAACACACACCGCACAATAGAATCGACCACCGTCCAGACCTTGGACAAATTTTGTATTACAAAGGAGTTTCCGTTATTATATTTTAATAGCGCGTACGTTAATAAGCGCCGAATTTTGATATTCAAAATATTAATATATAAAATAACATTTTCAGGACACTATTGATTCCCTAAAACATGAGGTAGCAGAGAGTAGGACGAGGTTGCATGCCCACAGTGAGATTGAGCGTACACTACGTGCCCAGCTCGCTGCAGCGCGAGAAGATGTCGACCAGGGGCCGGGCACTCCATACCCCTCTGGGGAAACAGGGAAGAAATATACCTGTGACGCGGCTTGTGACCCCATCTGTTGGGAGGCTGAAGAGTGTGAGCTGAGGATACAGGCTAACGAGGAATTGAGCAAGGATGCTACTGAATTAGCCGCAGAGGTAAGGTTTCACATTGATATCTTAGCAGTAAGTTTTTTAATTAAATTTATTTATTAAAGTTTACCACTATCATAGTACTAAATGTACGGCATATGTTACAAACTCTCTTATCTAAAATATATGACAATTTTAGTAAACATAACTGTTAAAAAAAAAAAATATATATATATATATATACAAGATAAAATAAGAATACCAGAAATTTCTGTTAAGCAGAAAAGAAAAAAAAATCAGCAAAACAGCGAAGTTTTTCGTTTTGATCTGACTGACTTGATGATTGCATTACCCAGGATATTATTTATCTGTATTAATATTTATTTATTTATAGTATATAGTAATAGCTGTACTATATCCATATTATAAAAGGAATCACATAGATAATATACAAAGCCAAAACCGATTAAATTGATAATCCAAATACACGAAACAGGGAAGATAAGTCAATTAAGTACATTTATCGATAAATAAAAAGATAACTGAAATTAAATATAAACGAACTACCTATTTATTTTGAAGTAAAACTAAATGGTTGCTAAATAAAGTTACATTCTTCCCGCTTCGTAACATATTTCCCGACATCCTATATAGTATGTTAATTTTTTTACAATCTTCCACAGAAATAAGTAAATATGTAATGCAAATCTTTTAATAAAATCCATCCAGTAATTAAAAACTACTAATCCGATTTTGATGTAAATTAACCGTTAAACACATTTTGGTTAAGCATAGACATAGACAACATTTATTACAAACAAAAACACACACAATTTAACAAAATTCAAAGAAGAAATAAAATGAAATGAAAAGAGATAACAAAAACAATAGAAAATTAAAAAAAATCCCTTTTCCCATTCGGTTCGTTTCAAGTGTGTAATGCGTGTGTGCTGTGGCTGTAATCGGCCCTCCATTTGATGTTTAGATATCATATTATATGGACAATGATACTTAAGAAATTTAGCACACACGATTCAGCATATTCAATTGCAACCAAATTATGTCATAGGTCACCGTTCTTTTCTGAAGTCAGTTTGTATGTACCACAGGTTCGGTCTCTACGCTCGGTGGTAGAACTTAAGCAAGCAGAGGTCGCATCACTGCGGGATTCTCGCAGTGAGCTAGCTGCAGAGCGCGAACGGCGCGCCGCCGCCGAGCGTGACGCGGGCAGTGCCCGTCAAGCTGCAGAGGAATTACGCGAGCGTGGCGCTGCCAGGCAGCGAGAAGTCGATCGCCTTAGAGACGACAATCGCCGCTTAAGAGAAGTCGCTGCTCGTGATCGGGACCACGCCGCGCGTCTTTTGGCCCACAACGAAGAGCTCAGATACAAACTTCGACAGAAGTCCCAGGTATGATTTACGTATAAATACAAAATTCAAACAAATTTAAATAGTTTTGTCCCTGTGGCAGTGTACCTTGTTATTCTTTGACTTTTGTTAGCGATAGTCCAAAAGATATTAAGGTTATTTTTGTTTGTTCTTCTTTTTTAAATTTATTTATACCGAACTGATTCTGTAGCGTGCCTACGGGGCGATGACTTATCATCGTTATTTCGTGATGATGTAGCAAAAGCTGAGTACATCACTTTCTCCAAGGGACAGCAAAGTTTTAGTGTACCAACATATGATTCCATATTTCTGTCCCTGCTTTGATTTCTATAGCATTGTCGTTATACTGCATAATCTTTACAATAAATCGAATTCATATCGGAAATTACAAATTTATATATTAAAACTCGAAAACTGACTAAATTATATTTTCAGTTATTTAGTGTATCTCTGTGATCCAGCCCAGCTCTAAGTCTTTTGGTGATATCTTAAATCAAGTTTCTCATATTGTTATTAAACACAGAATGCTTATGCTTTAGCGAAAGGAAACCACAAATTTTTAGTTAATACTTGAAACACTTGAATACTTGAAATTGTGTCACAGAGGCGTAAAAATACCTTGTTATTTTAATAATTTTTATTTTTCATTATTTACTTCTCGGCACGAAACTTGTCCAGATAGTGTAATAGATTGTTCGTGCATAAGATTTTAGTAGATAAAACATAAAATACCTCTACTAATGACACAAGCCAACACATATTAATAAGAAAACAAATTAAAATGGTGTGAATGCCAATAAATTTTATAAAATATTTTCCCTTTCAGGTGGTCTCTCTGCTAGCGGGCGGTGCGTACGTAGAGCGCAGTGGGTCTCGTCCCCACACGTGTTCGTCCGGGGACTCATCCCCTCCCGCGTCTCCCCCCGCCTCCCCTTCTGGTTCCCCCTCGCCCTTAACACCTCCGTTGCCCGCTGTCAAAGGAGTTGTGGAGAAACACGACTCTGTCAGTTGGGTGCTCGAGATAGAGGAGACGCCTGAGGAGATGGCTTCCAGGTACGGCTGATGTTTAGTGATGCATGAATTATTGACTATCCTCTGTTTTATTATCGTATGACGCGTACGTAATCACAATTTCACAACTGTCAACTATACTATAATATATACTAGAACCGCCTTTGATTTACTTGTAACTTTCTCCAAGGAAACATCTTGAACAATTTTTTGTAACAAAATAATTTTGTTTTAAACTTCTAATTACTAAAAATAAATCGCTTATTTCATCGAAAAAGGAATTTAGATCATTTTGCTATTTTATGTTTAACGTTACGTGCGATTATAACTGCGATAGAGTTTATTATACAAATATTAGTTCTTTTTATATGACATATTTAGTAATTTTATATGTATTTTCTTTCGGCAGACTGGCACGCAAATCATCTTTTCGCTCGTCGACATCCAGTGGCGTGAAGCGACGTGGGGAAGGCTCCCCTGCCCCCGCGTCCCCTGCCCCTAACGCGTCTAAACTTTTCCGGCCAGGTGACTTGGACTTCCCTCCCCCGCCCCCGCCACTTAAGGAAGCCGCCGGAGAGGCCATCTATATATACGACGAAGGTCACTATTGAACCGTTATTACCCGGCTCGAAGGACCATAACCACGGAGAGACTGATTCGTTTGGAAAGTCTACTTTACTCACGTATGATATGTTTCTGAACCTAACTAATGCTTAGGTGAACAGATTGAGGATTGTGATCAATGAATACTTAAATACATAGACCAACTTTGTCTATTGAACATTGTCTGAGGGAAAATTTCTTGCCGGATTATCACTGGATTTATTGAAATACGGAAATGTTTAAACGCTTTTTTATAGAACTATTGGTGATTTATGTTCGCAGTTGAGTCAGATTGCAATTGTTTAGTGTTACGGGTTGATTCCCTAAGCTGAAACTTTAGTTGTGGAAGGCTATATTTTAATGTTTCAATGCTTTCTCACATATATATATTGATCGGCTACGTTTTGATAAAAAATGTGTACATTGCACCAATAAGACGAAGTTTTAGTTTCATTTGGTCTGCATTTTCTGGGACGTGTATTTGCATGCATTTTAATAAAACCTTAAGACAATTATTGTGAATGAGTTAGTGTTTTATGAGTGGTCCAATATAATCCGTATTCCACCGATATTAATAACGCGCTTTCTAGAAGCATATTTTACAAGTTTAATCGACAATTGTCGCGTATAGAGCTTCGATCTAACAAAAGTAAACCTTGTTTGTTTAATATTTGGTAAACGCGAGTACTACAAATATTGGTAATAAACGCATATTTATTACATTATGTATTTAACTCGACGAGTGCCTAACAGCAATTGTGGTCAATCTGAGACATGTAAACTGAACTGAGTTTCATCATTGGAGTCGAGACAGAATACGAAATTCCACTCGACCGTTCGTCGTTTCACAACCGCGTTTTTAAGGCAGTTTTTGCCACCATTATGTGGAACCAGCTGCCCACTAAGAGTGTTTTCGGACCAATTCTACTTAGGTTCCTACAAGGTACCTCTGGCATTGAGATCCATGCGCGGTGGTATCACTCATCATCAGGTGAGCCTCCTGCCCTGCCCCCGGTTCTAAAAAAAATATATAAACAAGTCGAGTTAGGTAAATAATGTAATAAATTCGATTTTATCCGCTAAAGAAATTCGTTGTTTGATATCGAGTAACTTGCTGATATGAATTAAACAACGACAATTCATTCCCATATTTATAAAATCTCTGTATCGTACAACTAATCTGTCCCTTGTTATCGTGAAAACAATTTAAGAGAAAGAGACACGCGACAATTGAAATTTGTTCGATTAAACTTATATTATACACAGTAGAGGTATGACTATATTGTCTTAAGGCATATAATCCATTTGTAACAGTTATATTAATTACTATTAAATCTTCTCTCGACTCTTTCTTCCATTATATTAAACACTTCTAGTCTTATTTATCTTTTCTCTTATATTTATTGGTGCAATATCGTTTAAAATTGTTAATGATGTTATGTTAAGATAATGGAATATGCAATACGCCGTGCTCATATATTGTGGCAATGTTATTACGTTAAGGATTTCGTATTGTCTGAGTCCATTATTGTATATTATTATGATAGTTTATCTTGGTTGTTGGAATTGTTTTTATTTTCATGTACAAATAATGATTGAGAAATAGATGTAAGTAGTTTACGGATGTGTAGTACGGATTTTCACAATGTAGGCTATATTTATTTAAGATTTTTGATAAATCAATGAACCAAAGAGGCAGTCGGTCAGCTTCTCTCTTTGCTTTCGTTTGCATGTCATGTGCTTGTCAACTGTCAAGTTTATTTATTTTTAAGCTATGTATAAATAGTATTTCCATTCCAAATAATTTCATGATTAGGAGAGTATCTATTATGAAGGATTAAATAATAATATTACAATGTGACGATTTGTTTTATTCATCGCCGTAAATTATAAGAATTTATTAAGAAGTGGCTTTTTTTCCCTGAGATCGTAGGTTCGAACCTCGGCTGTGCATCAATATGGAATTTTTGTCTTACCGTATCTGTCGTACGGCGAAGGAAAACTTCGTGAGGTAACTGGTATGCCTTAGATTCAAAAAGTCCACGTATGGCAGGCATAGAAAGCTGATCCTACCTACCAATAAGAAAAAAAAATGATCACGATACAGAAACAGTAATCATCTAATACCAAGACCTAAAAAGGTTGTAGCGCCACTAATTCATTAGATTATTAGTTACAAAATGAAATGTATAAAAAACGTATCTATAGAACGTGGACTCATGTTTCGTGGCTACGAAACTTATCGACAAAATAAGAATATTTTCAGCCAATAATAACATATCCTCTATTCAAAAGTATAGCAAGCCTCAAATTAGTATTGATTGGTTAGACTTCCTTTCATGTCACTGCAAGGATAAAAAAGTGACAAAATATACTTAACTACGAGTACATTAGGTCTAGGAGCGTATAAATTCGATTTTCATTCAGAATTTACTATTGAAGGATGGAAGTCATTGACATAAGTAATTTATCAATTAGGACAATTATCCTAATTATTACGTCCGCATGCCGACGCGGGCGTCCTGCGCAAGAGTTGACCAGTTGAACTATTATTAACCCATGTGAGCAAGATTTATGTACTTATAGATAAATAGACAATTATACAAATTAATACTAATTGCACTGTGTGTTATCATCAATAAAAATGTACACACACTTTACCAGTCAGCGACTGTGTAGTTAAAACGTCCTATTTATTAATATTGAAGAAACATGAGAATTTTTATTATTATTTATTAAGTAAACTAAACAGATACATCTCTAAACAGTGAATAAAATAAAAGTAAAACATAAAATAAACACATTGGACATATCCACAAAAAGTTTCACTGATAAAAAATACAATAGAAAGTAAAACAAGACAAAACATGACAGCACAAAATTTATAAATTAGGAGAACGACAAACAAACTAGCAGCTATAAAAAAACAAGGAAGATACAAGGCTTAAGACATTAAGTGTTTTAACTTATACTTAAATGAAGCAGTAGAGGAGTGCGAAAAAGGGTCAATGTTAGTGACAGAATCCAGGGCAGAACACATCCTGTGAAGAGGCTCTCGGAACCCAATGTTGGTTCTGTGAGTCGGAAGGTTAAAAGTTCTGTGCGAGCGCAGAGATCTGGCAGGAACGTTAAATGGTATCAGTTCGAGAAGATTTTTAATCAAAGATATAGATGATTATGAATTCAAATACGAAGTACATAATTATTAAAAAGTTCGTTGGTTTATAAATTAACAGAATTATAAGATATTAATTACTTAAAATACTAATTCATCTGCTTTAATCACTATTTAATCATATGTTAAACCATTTCATGAAATAAACGTCGACCCGTACACGACGTTTTATATTGTGTCCCTATTCAAACAGAATTGAGTTCTAGAGAACCAGGGAAAGGTAGAGTCCAAATAACATTGTACTTTAAGGTAATTGAAAAGCCAAATAAATTACGTTTGCGAAGAAATAGAAATTCTTTCCGCGTCTTTCAAAATAGTGAAACGGAGGCATAAGACTCTTTTCTAAACGGGTTTCTTTGTATTAGATTGAAGAGCTATACCAATTACAGGCCCTTCTTTCCCACAATTATAAACCAAGTGTATATTTTTCGTAAAATTTAACTATATTGGCAGAAATTGCATTCATTCGCTGTCAAATTACCGCTACGCACAATAGTTAGATATATCAATATTTCCATACTGAAGACATTAGAGTTATGTACTTTGTTTGCTACTTTGATTACTAAGGTCACTTAAAATGTGAGAAAATGGTTTTTAATATCCACCCTCAGACCTACAACACGCCACTATAGCACTTACTAATTCATAAGCAATACTATACTACAGTATAATTTATAATAGCAAAGTTTCATTCCAAAATATACTTAATAATATATGTAGCTTTCAAATCGGCATTCAATTGTTTGTTATATTGCTCTTAAATATACACATTTCTCAACAAAACTGGCTTAATGGCAGCGTATTTATTTACTTCATTAGTAAATATTACGAGCTTGTTAACATACTATGAAATATTAGCACATACTTAACAAAATTATCTTATCAGCTAAATGTATCTATGACTTAATAATTAACGATTTTAGAACATATGGATAGTTATAATAGTAAATTTACAAAATCTAGATCTACGGTCAAGCTGTTTCAAGTCAGTGTTCTGAAATAATTTTGATATTTCAACGTTCATAAGTATACAAAAGTTACTTTAATTAATATTTTGCCTATTTACAAATGCTATTCCTAAAAAATAACAAATGAAACAGACGAATATATTATTTTATTTATTAACACCTGCTCTGTGCCCATTGCCATCATAGCTTGAAGACACGATTGCTTGCGATCCCCGTCAAAACAATAATAGATTTAAAGGCATTGGCTAATCACTAAGTATTATAACTGCAATGGGGAAGTCTCGCCGCTAGTAAGGGAACAAATTTGTTAGTAATGTAGTAAAAGAGTTGCTGCGTATAAGCAAAAAAAAATCCTCTATGGCGCTGAAACTTGGACAATACGAACATCTGAAAGGAACTAAGACGTTTACAGATAAAAAATCGAATTGTGAAACTTTGTTACCGTGAGTTTTTTTGGATGCCAGAGGTCCAGAAAATATAGAAAAACTTATCGTGACTGGCCGATCCCCTACTCGCTGGACTGATCAAGTATACAGGTCTTACCATCACAGAGATTTTATCTGTGAAATTTAAATTGTATTTTCTTTTACAAATTTGGCAAAGGTCATCTAGTCTCTGCGTCTACTTCAACCCAGTTATCAGGTAATAAAATGCGCTGAGTACTAATTGAATAATGTCAAATCCTAAACAAATAAAGATAATTCGGCGGTGTCAAGGAGACTAACATAAGGACACAACGCTATCAGCCCCTATATAAACTTATGGAAACATGAATTCCAACAAAAAATCGCAAAATGGTCAACAGCGTGGTTGCGTTTGTATTTTCGCTATTAATTGGTAAGTAATAATCAAAATATATTAAAAC